TTCTTGAGGTGGAAGCTAATAAACGCAACAGAACTGTAATTGCATTGTCTCGTGGAGTTCTTTGGGCTGAACCTGACATCAATCTCCCCATGCTCCTGTTAGGGGCTAAGAACATGCTTATCTCCCTGAGCATGGCCTTCATAAGTCCATTCCATCACAGGTTCCACTGTAAGGCCAAATGGAGAAGTGCATCCAAAGTCTACCAGTTAATTGGCATCAAGATATTGACGGGTTTCTCATTAGAGGAATTCCTGATTGGCCTTTCATAAAAGCACCCAAATGTATTAGCCTTAAGGATCCCCAAGAATTTTCTGGTCATTTTTACAGGGAGAGAAGAACACCTGATGTATCAACATGTTTTCCTTCTTAGATTAAGAGATCCATCCATACTATATAAGGTAGTGGTGATGTGTGCCCATACTAGGCGTGCCATGAATTATCTTCTTCTGCTCACGATTCAAGTCAGGAGGTCAATCAAACTGCAAATGATTCAAGCGTGATGTATTGAAAAAAATCAGGGATCAGTGTATGAAATCAAGGGGGAAAAAAGGCATTACTTTTTCTCGGTGATCCATGTCTTCGTGATCACTCCTTTTCTCACTGGGGTATCCACTGTCACCTCCATTTTCAGAGTCCTAAGGAGACAAACAGGAGAGGAAAATAAACTTCTTCCATCTCAGATCTCCTTCTTTTATAGACTGAACTTCGTCCTTCTCTAAGAGCTCTATCTAGTTGTGAATGGTGCTTTCCGAATCCTTGTGCTTTGAGAGCCTCCAGCAGGATTTAAAATAGGGGTGGCCCACCTTTGCCCTTCCAGATACAACAGGAGACCTCACCTAGTCATATCTGAAAGACCACAGAATCTTTACCCACTTCTGTTGGGTGGGACAATCAAATCAGCTCATGGTCCTGATCAGGAAAAGGAATGAAAACTCAAGAGGACAAGAAAAATATTTGCGTACACACAAATGGGGAGAAAGGTCTGTCTGTCTATCATACCATAGGACAGTGTTTCTCAACCTTGGCGAGTTTAAGAGGGGTGGACTTCAACTCCCAGAATTCCCCAG